CCCCCCCCCCGGGAACGCCCCCGGCCGCTGCCGGGGCGAGGACCCCCCTTGTAAAGGGGGCAGCCGCGGGGGAGGCAAGAGCAGCCCAGACAGACACACTGACCGTGGACAAGTTGGGGGCAGCCATCAAAGGCGGGCAGGCCACGGAGAAGGGGAAGGGTGCGCTGAAAACCACACCCACGGCGGGGGAGGAGAATGCAGCCCTGGAAGCTGCCCCTGGCGTGCGGAAAGGCAGAGCCACCCAGAAAGAGGGGTCGGGGCAGCCGCGGGGGAGGCAAGAGCAGCCCAGACAGACACACTGACCGTGGACAAGTTGGGGGCAGCCATCAAAGGCGGGCAGGCCACGGAGAAGGGGAAGGGTGCGCTGAAAACCACACCCACGGCGGGGGAGGAGAATGCAGCCCTGGAAGCTGCCCCTGGCGTGCGGAAAGGCAGAGCCACCCAGAAAGAGGGGTCGGAGGCGGGGGAGGAAAGAGCAGCGCCCAAGGTTGCTTTGGCCACAAGGGGGAGAGCCACCCCCAAGCGAGGGGCAGCAACAGAGGCCGTCAGGAAGGAAAGGGTGACCCCCACTGCTGGGCTGGGTGAGTGGAGAGCTGCCCCCATAAGCAGGCTGAGTGCAGGAGAGGGCAGAGCTGCCCCCAAAGCCATGGCAGCCAGCGGGGGGGGGGGGGGGAGCCAGTCTGAGAGAGGCACAGGTGGTGGGGCAGGACAAAGCAGCAACAAAACACACATCAGCTTTGGAGAAGGGGAGAATGGCCCCCAAACATGCACTGGCTACGGGGAAGGGGCGAGACAGCCCCAAACATGCACTGGCTACGGGGAAGGGGAGAGACAGCCCCAAACACGCACAAGGGACAGGGAAGGGGCGAGACAGCCCCGAACACACGCAGGCCACTGGGAAAGGGAGAGAGAGCCCCGAACACACACAGGCGACAGGGCAAGGGAGAGAGAGCCCCGAACACACACAGGCGACAGGGCAAGGGAGAGACAGCTCCGAACACACGCAGGCCACGGGGAAAGGGAAAGCCAGACACAAACACGCAGCAGCCACAAGGAAGGGGAGAGACATCCCGAAACACACAGGGAAGAGCAGAGCTGGCCCCAAACCTGTGCTGGCCACAGGGAAAGGGAACGCTGGCCCCAGACACGTACCAGGCACACAGAAGCGCAGACTCCCTGGGAGCTCTCTAATGTTGCTGCGGGACAGAGGCAGGGAGGGCTCCCGTGGGGACCAGTCTGTGAGGAGCCTCGTCATTGCACAGTAGGGTCAGGGCTGGCTCCTTGGACATGCATTCAGCTGGGATTGCACTGACTGGGTGCGAAGGCCAGGACTATAACGGTTTAAAAGAGAACTAGATAAGTTCATGGAGGTTAAGCCCATTAATGGCCATGAGCCAGGATGGGTAAGGAGCAGTGTCCCTAGCCTCTGTGTGTCAGAGGGTGGAGATGGATGACAGGAGAGAGATGGCTTGAGGGTTCCCTGTTCGGTTCACTCCCTCGGGGGCACCTGGCATTAACCACTGTCGGCAGACAGGATGCTGGGCTGGACGGACCTTGGGTCTGGCCCAATATGGCCGTTCTTATGTGAAACCCATCAATGTGCAGGAGGGAAGAAATGCCAATACCATAAGCTCTCAGGCAGCAGCAGAGATACACTTACGACTCAGAGAGGAAGGGCAGCACGCAGGCACATGTCCCCCACCCCGGGCCCAGGGCTGGTAGAGCACGTGGCCGGCCCTTCAGCTGCACAATTGACTGTCCGCGGAGAGGCTGAAATCTTGGCAGGCGACAGGAATGGGATGAACTTGAAATGCTCCGATCAGACCCTGCAAAGAGGGAGTTTAAAAGGAACCCTAGACATTTCCCTCTGCGTGGAATTGAAAGAAGGAGAGGAAAGGTTCCAGTGTGCCCGAGTCTCATGATTGCAGAGTTTCTCTTAAAAACCTCAGCTCTGATTTTATATAAGAAAAAAATTCTGTGTCTAGCTCCAGTGATGGGAGAGAGAAAAATTGAGGAACCTCAAACCCTATTGCGGGACGGTGAATCCCTCCCTGTTAATTTATTTTATTAAATCTCATGATTTTAAAACTGAGTTTGACGGGGGGCTCTGATTCCATTTTTCTTTGAAGGCTGGGGGCTTTTTGGAGGAGGGGGGCAGTTTAAATGCACAACACATGTATCATCCAGTGTCCATTGCAAGCCACATGCTGCACCCCAGGGGAGCCGTGAGGAGAGACAGACTAGAAGTAACAGCACCGCTGCTGGGCCGTGTGATGTAGTGGGAGGGCTGTCTGCTCTGTCACCCAGGGTTCCCCTGCACTGTGATGTGTGATTGCCACTGACTCACCCACATGTGGATTGGCCCAGACACCTAGGCCCAAAGTAAGCAGTTAGCAAAGCTCTTCCCAGGAGGAGAGACGGACACCTGGCTGGGGGGCAGGATCTGGGAGCGAGGCAGTTTCTAGGAAACATGAAGGGAACAGACTAAGCTGAGGGGGTAATGGACCCCCTAGCCCCACAGATCTAAGACTGCCTGGCCCTGACTCCGGTAACCACATCACATCTGTGCTGTATCCTGGAGAAGCAATAAACGCTTTCTGTTCTACTGGCTGGCAGTCTGTTCTTGCTGCTACGGGGGTGCAGGATCAGGGGAACCCCGACGCGCCGTCACAGGCCGTATATGAACTCTGCAATCTTACACCCACAGAATGGTGGCGGGTGGGAGTTTCCCGTGGCAATTTGTTTTACCCTCCTTTCCTAGTATTGGAAAAATTGCACTTAAGCTCAGATTTCATAGAGGAGACCAGATTTCATGGTCCATGACATTTTTTAGTGGCCCTGAAGTTAGTAAGGCCACAGATCTCTTCTGCCATATGTCTGAGAGAGATATCCTTCTAAATGGTAAAAGCTAAAAAGACCGCCAAATTCGGTGGACAGCTTCCTCTTCTAGCTCAAAGCAAGGGCAGGGTTTGGTTGTGCCAGGACAATGGGATATGCCTGGAATGGGATTGCTGCTCATAAAACCATACAGAAAAGAGACAGAATCACCAGGCAGGTGAAAGGGGTTTGCTGGGGGTGCCCCCCACAATCCAGCCCTGAGCTTCCCACCTAACCTCCCATTTCCCAGGCACCCTTTGAGGGGGAGGGGACTGAACCCCCCCCCCCCCCCTCTTTCCTCCTAGT